AAAATATTAATAAAACCTATTACATTAAAATTAAGAATGCCTTTTCATCAATTATAGCTTAAGGAAAGAAAATGAAAAGGCAAGCTCTTAGAAACTAGAAGACTTTTGCTACGCATATAACTAACAAAGGGCTAGCATTCAAAATACATAAAGAACTACAAATCAGTGAGAAAGACAAACTACCTAATAGAAAAATGGATAAAAGGAGATGCTTACCTTATTAGCAATTAGAGAAATGTTTATCAAGACCACAGTGAGATACCAATTTATACCTCTGCAATTGACAAAAACAAAGTCAGATAAAACCAAGTGTTAGAAAGGATATGGATCAATAGGATGTTAAACTGATGGTGGAAGCAAAACATTTATATAGCCACTTAGAAAAAGACAATTTTGCATCATGTGTTAAAGTTGAATATTTGAAAAACTTACAACCCAGAAATTCCATTTCTATGTGCATTCTCAAGTACCTTTTGCATATGCGTAGTTTGTTACAAACAATTATTTCAGTCTATAGAAAGTTATGATCTAGTTTTCTGCACCAAAGATGTTTGTCTATCCAAAATATTATGTCTAGCTTGGGTCCGTGATTCACATTTGTGTGCTCAGGTCATAATTAAATCATAGGCAAGGAGCATCATCAAATAAAATCATCAAATAAAATGTGTATTTGCTATTCTCAAAAAGGGCCTTTGTACTGAGGCTGAAATTAGGTGGTAGGTAGGACTGTAATCAAACATGAATAGATAATAGTATTAATAACCGTCACCATTAATTAAGCATGTACTGTTTGTCAGATTCTTCAATTTTTATTGAATGGAAATTACTTTGTTTAGTCTTCACAAAGGCTTTCTGATATGGGTACCATTATTAATCTTTTTAAAATGGAGCATACTGAGCCATTGGGAAGCTAAATAATTTCCACAACTTTATGTTGTAAATTGTAAGGCTGGGGTTTAAACAAAGGCTCTCTGACTCCGGCACCTGTGATACGGCGATAGAGAAGCTATTATCTTTCAGATAAAAAGTCAACTTTTCTTAACTTCACAGAGAGAACAACTCTGATTCGTGGCTATAGGCAAAGGTCTGTTGTCTCTAGATGCTTTGACGATTGTTCAGAAAGTAGTGGTGTATGTTTATCTCTACTCATGCAAAACTAAAATTGTATATTTTCAGTATTTCAATAGCATTATTTTATAGATGAATAGCAATAAAGTTATCAATGTGATATATATGTCAATGTGATCTGAAGACTTATTTAAAATTATGCCAAGAGATATGATTGCCTTGCTTTTATCTAGTTATAAAACTTCTTATCAAATAGACATCATGAAGAATGTCTACCTAAAGATATTTTCAAAAATTTAGGTAAAAGATTATTTAAGAGTCCAGTTTGTTGCAAAATTAGTATTATTGTCTTAGTCACCTTGGGCTGCTGTAACAGAAAATCATAGACTGGGTGGCTTAAAGAACAAACATTTATTTCTCACAATTCTGGCAGCTGGATGAGATCAGAATGCCAGCAGGGCTGGATTTTTTGTAAGAGTCTTCCTCCTGGTTCATAGACTGCTTTCTTCATGTATCCTCACAATTCAGAGAAAACAGGCTCTGGTTCCTTAGTTGCCTTATAAGGGAACTAACTCTATGATGGGAGACCCTCATTACTTAATCTTAGCCTAATCTAAGGCCTCCCAAAGGCCTCATCTCTAAATACTGTCACATTGGGGATTAAGGTTTCTACAATAGCAATTATTGAGGGTTTCTTTGAGGCTAGATCATATATCTGATCTGAGGAATTAATTGGTGTATGTATAGACTTTCTGTTCTTATGATTCAAAGCAAATGAGCCTATGTATGTATTGTCCAAAAGTTATTGGATTGCTACCAAAGAGGCAGAATTTTTTTTTTTTTTTTTTTTTTTATCATAGTAGAAAGATCTAGGATGAAAGTTTTGACTCTTGCAATCTAATCCCAGGTTGGCAGTTACTGTCCATGTGAACTTGGACCTGTAATCTGTCACTTTCTAATAGTTGTGCTCCTGGGAAATTTAATTAGATTCTTAATTTTCTCATGTGTCAAAAATACAGATAATAATAAATACCTTACTGGAACATTACAAGGATTAAATAAATAACATGAGAAAGATATAGAAATCCTATATGAGGAAGTCTACCATTTCCTTCCTTCTAAATTCCATTTCCATCTCTTGGGCAAGGTCAGTCACGTCTTTGGCTTTAATTTCCTCATCTATAATAATGCCAATAGCATGCTTGAGAATCTGTGATTCCGAGCCCTTCTATGTATTTCTTCCTATGTATGTTCAGCTTTAAAAAGTATTGCAAGGATCCTTTATGTAAATAAGCTATTTCTGGGGGATAAAGAAAGTGTGAACTAAAATCATTTTATTCCTCTGCTCCAAAAGTAGAGTGCTTTGCTTTGATTTTCTTTCTGACTCAGCAAACAGAGACATCTGCACTGACTTAGAGTTTTCTTGAAAGTTTTTTTTGTTTCAGTCATATGATCAGAAAGAACAAATGTAAGTCCTTCTGGAATATAGTGTGAATGACATTAAAATATGTCACTAAAACAAACATTTCTTTTCTTTCTTTCTTTTTTCTTTTTTGAGACAGGGTCTCCCTCTGTTGCCCAGACTGGAGTGCAGTGGCACAATCACATCTCACTGTAGCCTTGACCTCCTGGGCAAGTGATCCTCCCACCCCTGCCTCCTGAGAGCTGGGACCACAGGCACGCACTACCACATCTGGCGAATTTTTAGATTTTTTATATAGACAGGATCTTGCTATGTTGCCCAGGGTGCTCTTGACTCCTGGGCTCAAGCGATCTTCCCACCTCAGCCTCCCAGGGTGCTAGGATTACAGGCATGAGCCATGGCACCCAGCATAAAGTGGGCATTTCTAATTCCAGTATGCTCCTGTATCAGATGTTTGAGAGTTAAGAGATACATATACATTTCTTGGCACTTTGAATGATTAGCTGAACCAGTCACTGCTCTGTTCAACAGGTGGATTTTCGGAAAAGACATATGAATGGAGCTCAGAAGAGGAGGAGCCAGTGAAAAAGGCAGGACCAGTCCAAGTGCTCATTGTCAAAGATGACCATTCCTTTGAGTTAGATGAAACTGCATTAAATCGGATCCTTCTTTCGGAGGCTGTCAGAGACAAGGAGGTTGTTGCTGTATCTGTTGCTGGAGCATTTAGAAAAGGAAAATCATTCCTGATGGACTTCATGTTGAGATACATGTACAACCAGGTATGCAGGAAGTACTTCAAAAAGTTTTCTTTCTTCTGTGCTTCTGTCACTTCGTGTTTTTGTTTAATGGTGTTCAAAATGTTCATTTCTATTATTATGTACCCTATATATGAACCAGCTAAAGAAATGCTGTGGTGTAACCATTCCAACCTCAGTGCTTTGGGGGCCAAACTACACAGACCAATTTTCTCTGAAGCTGCTTTGTTGCATTTCCCTTAGAATATTACTTATATTTTTATTCTTTAAAGAATAGACACAGAATATCCTGATTATACTTAAATGTTATAGTGTTTAAAATGTCACATAACTTTTGTATTGTAATCACTTTTTTCCAACATTTAGTATGACGTATTTCAAGCATATAGCGAAGTTAAAAGAATTTTATACTAAACATCTTGGTATCCACCACCCAGATTCTACCGTTAACATTAGTATTCCTGCGTTATCACTTATGACTCCATCTGTTCATCCCTCTTTCCAGCCATCACTCCAAGTTATTCTTTGATGCATTTGAAAATAAATTGCTGGCCGGGCACTGTGGCTCACGCCTGTAATCCTCAGCACTGTGGGAGGCCGAGGCGGGTGGATCATGAGGTCAAGAGATCAGTACCATCCTGGCCAACATGGTGAAACCCCATCTCTACTAAAAAGAAAAACAAAAACAAAAATTAGCTGGGCATGTTTTCCTTGTCCTTCAAGGTTATTTTTCAGGCTTATGGTTTTTATGAATATCTCAATGTAGATCATTGACTCAGAGTGAATGTTATAGAAATGTTATTATGCTAATTAATAATAATCACAATTTATTCATTGAAGTATGCATCCCAAGACATTTTTCCAGGTAATACCTTATTGGAAAAATTTCAATTTCCACCTCAATAGTAATTATTTATTGACTACCTGCTAAATGTCCTAGATTGTGCTAGGCACTATGGTGGATACCAAAGAAAACATACTGTAGATTTTGCATTTAGGCATCTCACGGTTTGGCCAAGGAGACAGAATAACGATAGGTGAAATATTTAGAGCATCATTACATGGTGATATGGTGATTAATATATTTCTTTCTTTCTTTCTTTCTTTTTTTTTGAGATGGAGTTTCACTCTTGTCACCTAGGCTGGAGTGCAGTGGCACAATCTTGGTTCACTGCAACCTCTGCCTCCCGGGTTCAAGGATTCTCCTGCCTCAACCTCCCAAGTAGCTGGGATTACAAGCATGCGCCACCACGCCTCGCTAATCTTTTGTAGTTTTAGTAGAGACAGGGTTTCGCCATGTGGGCCAGGCTGGTCTTGAACTCCTGGCCTCAAGTGATCTGCCCGCCTCAGCCTCCCAAAGTGCTGGGATTATAGGCATGAGCCACCATGCCCGGACTGATCGATATATTTCTAAGTGTAGTTCAGGGAAGGGCATATAGTGGGCAAAAGTAACTGGAGAAAACTTTATAGAGATATTGGGAGTTAGAATAGATTTTGAAGATGTGTGGATCTGGATCAGAAAAGGAAAAATGGACATTCTGGACTATGAGGAAAAAGTATGATATATGTATTAAACAGAGTGTACACCTTCTTCCCTCGAGTGGAAATTAAGTATTGGAGATGAAGAAGAAATAAGATTGAATAGGTTATTGAGGCAGATAATAGAACAAATTCATAGAAGAACCAAAGCGCTTGGTAAGGGTTTAAAATGCCTTTTAGAACAAGATAAGATATAATTAAATAAGTTTTTCTTTAAATTAGTTTATGTAGATTTTTTATCAGTCCAAGTAGTCCTCTCCAAAATTCCTCTGCATTCGTTAATGTAAGGTTTTAGATTGGAGAATTATCTAATGAGATCTTCCAAAAACTAATAACTTATTCTCTGCAACAAATATCAAAATGGGGGTAACTACTATCAACCAAGGTCACCAATTACTGACTTACTAAATCTATGGGATATTTTCCATTCCTTATCCAACTTGATCTTCAGCCTTTATACAATTGATAGTTTTTCCTATTCTCTCTTCCTTTGGCTTCTCAAACCCCACTTGTAGCAGTACTTGTCTACTCCTTCCTGCTGTCCCGGCCCTGGTCAGGCCCTCAATCATATTTTTGACCTTTATTATAGCACCCACCCCTTATCCCTTCTAGCTATCATTTCCCTTCCCTACTAACTACCCCTACCTACTTCTAGAATAGTATCTCTCTACCACAACTATGATGATAATTCATCTCTGCTTCTTCATAACTTTCCATTGCCTGCAGGATAAAATCTGACTCCCTTAAGCACCTTACAAGGCCTTTCAGAATCTGGCCATCTGTCTAGCCTTTTCCTGCTACTTGCTTCCTCCTCCCCCAAAACCAAAGCATAATATGCTCTCTACTTCCTTCCTTTGTGCCTGCCTGCCTTCCTTTCTGGAATGCCTTCTCCAAATTTGCTCCCCTGGAAAATTCCTAAATATTTTTCAAGTCTTAGGTCAAACATCCTATGTGGTCTTGCCTGACCAAGGGTTATTTCTTTTTTATGCTACCATTTATGCATTATATATACTTCCATTTTGGCATGCATTTATTGCATCATAATGGTTTGTTTGCATGTCTGTCTCACTGTTAGGCTGTGAATTTCCTCTGGTCTGCAATGATATCTTTTCATTTTTATATCCCCAGGACATATCAAAAATGTGGCAGATGGTTGCTCCTCTGTAATTATTTTTTGGATGAATAAAGTGATTGTATTGATGCATTAGATGTGCATATGTTGTTTCCTTTTAACTAGAATTGGAGAGGGATAAGAATCAGAATGGATGAATGGAAAAAAAACTATACACACATATCAAGTTCCATATCACAGACTTTATTATTTTATAGGAATCAGTTGATTGGGTTGGAGATTACAATGAACCATTGACTGGTTTCTCATGGAGAGGTGGATCTGAACGAGAGACCACAGGAATTCAGATCTGGAGTGAAGTCTTCCTTATCAATAAACCTGATGGTAAAAAGGTATGATGCTAACTTCCTAAATAAAATTGAGTTTTCACTTATAACAGTTACTACTTTTTAGGATCCTTGAAGATGCACTTTTGAAAATTAATTTTGATCATTTGATATGAAGCTTAAAGTGGGGTAGCATCCTATAGCATGATCTTTGTTTCCCTTTCTTGTGATCAGGGTGGGCAAAATTATAAGGATGATAGAATAGCAGATCAGCAAGTAACATCTGTATTTTGTTTCACTGCTACATAAAGTTTCTGTAATGTTGGATTACTAGTAAAAATTACTTATAATAGTAATCAGCAGTTAATATTTTTATTTTCTGTGGCATTCATGGTATGTGTAAGAAATTATCTAAAATAGTATTCATTAATAATGGTTTGCTTTAGTTCTTATGATATTAATATTATGGTAACCCTAATGACCTAGATGTTCTATAAAATATCAGTAATGTACTCTTCTTGCCTGTAGGTTGCAGTGTTATTGATGGATACTCAGGGAACCTTTGATAGTCAGTCAACTTTGAGAGATTCAGCCACAGTATTTGCCCTTAGCACAATGATCAGCTCAATACAGGTATGAAATAAAATAAACCCATTTTGATGATGTTTCTTTAACTAAAAATTATGAGTGTATGTGTTTCTATATACATGTGATAATGAGATAAACAACAGAAATTGGGAATCATATATATTATTTGACTCAATTAGCATGCCAGTTCTTGTGATTTCTGTAGGAGTAGAATTGTTTTTGTTATTGTAGTCTAATTACTGACAAACTTTCAAATTGACTGCTTTGGTTAGAAAAGGTCATATTATCTTATTGGGATTTTTGTTGTTGTTGTTTAAAGCCTACAATAAACTCAGTAACATAAATCTTATATGAGTGTACATTGAGACCATCTATTATAAGTTACGTTTAATGAAACAGGATTTATAAATATAAATTTTGTTCTACATAGCCAGTAGAACTAAATGTAAAAACATTTACATGTGTTCATAGCTTTTAAAAACACCTTAATGTACATTTAGGAAAGTAAATATCTTGTATATAAAATTTATCTTTCTTTCCTTTCCTTTTTTCTTTCACTTTTTAAAAAGTTTTATTTTTGAGGTTATTGTGGGCTTTCTAAATTGTCCTGAAAATCCTTGTAGAGTTTTATTAGAACCAAAGAACCCATAGCATAAAAGATTTTAAGACTATTTTTAGATATTTTCAATCCACTGGCAAAAGCAAAAAGAGAGAGTGGCCAAGGAACAGGGCAGATCAATAAAAAAAAGTAAGAGAGCTTAAAAATGCAGAAAAGGCAAAGTAGTTAGGATGAGTGAGTCAAGGATGAAATTATAAGCAAGCATAGAGAATGGAACTAGTAAAGCAGTAACAAGGGCATCATATATGGTTAGGACAAACAAGACAGGGTAAACAGAAGGAGGAAGGAAAGACTGAATTTATTAAATAAAGGACTTTAAAGTAAAAGTCATAAAAAATGTTATGGTTATAACCTATTTAATCAACTTTTAAAAATTAACTTTTCTTTCAATTGACAAATAAAAATTATATATATTTATCATGTACAATATGATATTTTGAATACATACATTGTATAAGCCTTTAAAATACCGACTTAATCTAATTTATTCATAATTCACAGTGTAAGCCATAGTTATACAAGCCTATTTAAACCAGATTGAGTTTGCCTTTTCAGTATTACTCATTATTTATATTTGACCTGAATACATTGAATATTTTCATAGAAAAATCTGCTAACTCCTTAGTAATGACTATTTTTTATTATGTGAGAAATGATGATGTTATTTAAATAAGTATACAAAGTATTCTTTTTATATCACTATATAAACATATAAGCCTCCTTAACTTTTCTTTGAAGTTAATGATATTTATTCCCCTCAAAAAATGTCGTCTTAATGCTGTGATCTGTTCATGAAGCAGCAATGCATATGTATAAGGCTGTGAGCATGATATTCAGAACCTAACTTCCATGTGATGAAACTCTGTTCAGACATAAATAAAATGATTAATTGTGAAGAAGTCAACATGATTTTTCTTTTCTTTTCTTTCCTTTTTTTGAGATGAGTCTCGCTCCGTCGCCCAGGCTGGAGTGCAGTGGCGCGGTCTCTGCTCACCGCAAGCTCGGCCTCCCAGGTTCATGCCATTCTCCTGCCTCAGCCTGCCGAGTAGCTGGGACTACAGGCGCCTGCCACCACGCCCAGCTAATTTTTTGTATTTTTAGTAGAGACGGGGTTTCACCATGTTAGCCAGGATGGTCTCGATCTGCTGACATTGTGATCCGCCTGCCTCGGCCTCCCAAAGTGCTGGGATTACAGGCATGAGCCACTGCGCCCGGCCAACATGATTTTTCAAAACAAAATTTTCCATATGGCTTGCTGAGATTTAGATTGCTATTATTTTGTCTTGCTTGGAAGAATGAGTTTTTTTGACTCATTCTTTAGGTTCATAAAATAATTTTAATATTCTGTCTCCAGAGCAGATGGCTACTGTACTTCTAGAACCATTTTATAATCATTGTACATTCCTTATTGTCTCTCAACCTTCTTTTACTTCTCTCTCAAGGTCTTACAAATATCATCATGTAAGCAAGTATATAAGAAAGTTCATTTTTGTGATAACTGATATTTTTAAAAGTAGGGAATGATGAAGTAAGTGCTTAGGATGATGCCAATTATCTTATCATTGTGATTTTATTTCTTTATCAAGGTATATAACTTATCCCAAAATGTCCAGGAGGATGATCTTCAGCACCTCCAGGTAACAATATTTTCTTTTTTGTGTATCTGGTAGTCTTTGGAATATATATAGCAGAATTTTGGGGAATGATTTCAAAACATAATCAGATTCTGATTCTGCTGTTTACACAGGAACTATTGGCCCAATTAGGTGCCTGGTAATTACTGCCCCAGACTGGTTAATTTATAAAGGAAAGAAGTTTAATTGACTCACAGTTCAGCATGACTGGAAAGGCCTCAGGAAATTTACAATCATGGCCGAAGGCAAAGGGGAAGCAAGGCACTTTCTTCACAAGGCAGCAGGAAGAAGTGCTAAGCGAAGTGGGAGGAGCCCCTTATAAAACCATCAGATCTGTGAGAACTCATTCACTATCACAAGAACAGCCTCCATGTTTCACTTACCTTCACCTGGTCTCGCCCTTGACACGTGGGGATTATGGAGATTATAATTTAAGATGAGATTTGGGTGGGGACACAAAGCCTAACCATATCAATGAGTAACTACCTTTCTCCCTAGTTTGACATCAAATTTCATATATTTTTTAGAAAAAGAGTCACACTGCAAGTCACAGACATTTAAAAAAAAACACAACTGAGGTGATAAGGCTCAATCTAGCCTCAGGAAAACTACAGAGCAATCACTGCTCCAAAAGGAGCAGAAACAAAGAAGCAGAGATTCGGTTTACAAATAGTGACAGTACTGAGAAAGTTCCCAGGATTAGCACTAAGGAGCACAACTCTTCAGGTTTTATTATGCTCTGGGCACAGTGTATGTTTCTTCTCCTCTTTCGAATTCATTTCAAGATTCTCCAGGGCCGGATGCAGTGGCTCACACCTGTAATCCCAGCAGTTTAGGAGGCTGAGGCAGGCAGATTGCTTGGGCCCAGGAGTTTGAGACCAGCCTGGGCCACATGGTGAAACCCTATCTCTACCAAAAATACAAAAACTAGCCAGGCAGGCGTGGTGGCACATGCCTGTAGTCCCAGCTACTCAGTAGGCTGAAGTAGGAGGATCACTTGAGCCGGGGACGTCAAGGCTGCAGTGAGCAGAGATCATGCCACTGCACTCCAGCCTGGGTGACAGAGTGAGACCCTGTCTCCAAAAAA